TGTTCCAGTTCGTTGAAGAATGTTGTTGGTAATTTGATAGGGATTGCATCAAATCTTTATATTGCTTTGGGCTGGATGGCCATTTTGACAATATTAATTCTTCCTAGCCAAGAGCATGGGATGAGTTTCCATTTGTTAGTGTCCCCTTTAATTTCTCTTAAGAGTGTCTTACAGTTTTCAGGGTATAGGTCTTTCACTTCTTTGGTTAGGTTTATTCCTAGGTATTTTATTCTTTTTGATGCAACTGTGAATGGAATTGTTTTCCTGATTTCTCTTTCTATTGGCTCATTGTTAGTGTATAGGAAAGCCACAGATTTCTGTGTGTTAATTTTGTATCCTGCAACTTTACTGTATTCTGATATCAATTCTAGTAGTTTTGGAGTGGAGTCTTTAGGGTTTTTAATGTACAATATCTTACTTGCTCTCTTAATGGAGTCCCAGAAGCATAGAAAATCACACTTGTATTTCTGTAACTTATAGGGAAATGAATGAATATTGTGGTTTTCAAAGATAAGTTAATTATGGATAAAGATAAAAATTAAAAAGTGAACATCTTGGAAAGTGTGTTAAGAATAGTATAAACAAATATATATTAACTTGGAACTGTAAATCAAGTGGATCTCAAAAATGCTAATCCTGTTATCAAACCTTAGATTTTCCACTGAGCATGAATCTGTGTTTTTGTCACACACCACTTCTCCTCTCCTTCCCAAGGAAATACTGATCATGCAGTTGGGATTAAAGGAACTAGTGTTATTGATTCCTCCATTAACCATAATAAAGTTGTTTAAAATTAGAGTTTCTGGTTAATTTGCTTAGGTTTGAATGATTTTTATAGATTAAAAAGTCATATAATTTATTGTTTCCTTAATTTTTTTCTAAGAAGCCGATTGTCAACTAAATCTTTTTTCTGCTTAGTGATGTTATCTACAGGATTGCCACTTTCATTAGATTTTCAATGGAAAATATGTACTCTGTTGTAGTAATAGTGATAACCTGTAAAAGTCCAATTCTGAACATTGTTGGAACACTTAAAAGCATAAGTGAATTTTGGTTTCCTGTGTTAATTTATTATGGCAAATCTATCTATCCCCCCGTATATATTAAATAATGGAAATAAAATCATATACTAAATTCCCATTCTTCAAAAAACTTTACAGAATTTAAGCAAAAAAAAACAGAAAATGGCATTAGTAATAATTTAGAATGTGATTGGAATGAAAAGATTATGAGTCATTTTCTTTTACTTTAAAAATTTCAAGATTTATATTAAAAGAATCATTGTTTTCTTTCAGATAAATCTGCGCCTCATCTTGGTAAGTGGGAAAACAAAAGAGTTCCTGTTTTCTCCCAATGATTCTGCCTCTGACATTGCAAAACATGTGTATGACAACTGGCCAATGGGTGAGTGGTGTTTTTCTCTTGAGAATGAATAATGTTAATTCTTTATGCCCAACCTTGTTTTACAAAGTTATAAATATAAGAACTGTAAATATATAAAAATATAGAAGACCAAACAAATAATTGAGGGTCTAAGTTTTCAAGTTTAAAAGGGTCAATCACTGTGTCCTTCCCTAGATTTTGCTCTCCAGCTTCTTCATTGCAAAGTGGCAAAGAAGCCAGTGTACAGTCCGGTTTTTGCCTAAGAACTGTAAATGAAATTATTTAATGTAAATGAAATTACTTTTTAAAAGAAAACACAAAGTAACTATAATACACACACATATGCACTTTCATAGCAGTAAAATTATTTTTATCAAAACAAAGTAAAAGGAAAGAAAAACTATGTTTAATAAATTATAATACATTTTCTTTAGTCTGTTCTATACATAGCCTATTTAAGATTGAATTTGACCCAAAGTTAATTTCTGGTTCATGTCTCTTTGTGCATTCTCTGAACTACCACAAAGTCAAGAAGGTATCAGTCAGTTCATGCATTCCATTTTCAGAGCGGTATCTATGACAAACAGAATGTTGGGGGGTGTATGTGATACTCCTTCCTTGCTCTGGTTCTCTTCTATGCAATAAGACAATGTCTGACTACTCTAGGTTGAGTCTTTAGGTTGGGTTCTTTCTTTGAGCTTTCCCCAAGTTATCCCGACCCTTTTTATGGCATATACTATAATGATAGGACTGTTTCAGCTAATTTAACTTAATTTTACTACCCAAGGCAATTTGGACTTTTAAAGAACAAGACTGTTTCAATAAGGAACACAGTGTATATAAAATGAACCAGTTACATCAGTGTTTCTCAACCTTAAGTAATATTTGGAACTTTTTTATAGGAAGAAAATTCTTGTAGATTCCCTAGTGCTGACTTACATTATTTTTATTATTATGTTTATTTCTAAAGATAGAACCATAAAACACAGTGAAAGCTCTTTATCCTTACTAACTCATATATAACCATAAAACTAAAACAGATCTACCAAGAAAATGCAGCTATAACTGTAAAACCCAATAATGCTCAAATTAACAACATTGATGTTTCAGACGATGTCTTTTTGCAAAAACTCGCAGCCTGCACTGTGAGTGTGGCGCTGTTGAGTCGGCCGTGTCAGTGCCTTGCTTGCTGTATGAAGACCTGGTTATCTGCAGATTCACCACAAAGCCTTCATTTACACAGTGTCCCAAATTGTCATGTAGCTTCCACTTTGCAAAAATGCACCATTTATGTATGAAGTCCACCTCTGTTCTTGTTAGCCTTGTGACAGTGAGTTACTGCTTGGTGCCAGTATAATTATGAACTTAAACGCATACTTGGGCACTGAAATCCCAAGGCTGTACTTGGTTATAAAGTGGTTATTTGAATTATTTTAAGTAATCTCTTCCAGATTATCACTCTTGAAAACACAGTTTAAAAATTCTTGGAGAGGACATTCAGACCCTAAGAACATAGGATTCAGAGATCTTAATTTAAGAAACAGTAATTTAGACAGATGATTTACTTTCAAATGATTGAGATTTTCTTCCCATTGGTGACCGAGGGACAACTCAATGCTAGTTCCTAAATCAGGGAGGGACCAAAGGTAAAGCTTACAGGTAAGAAGGAATTGCAGAAAAGCTAAAGCAGACCAAACCTGGAACCCTTAGAATATTGGATTTTCTGTAAAACCAGGCAGGATAGGTAACTATCAGGATGAAAAGCATTTTTAAATACCTGTCTAATAGTGATGTTGTGCTAGGTATGATATAAAAGATTACTTTTATGATTGGGGGTGGTGGTGGTAAAGATAGCTTTTGATATCTATGGCTATTATAGAAAAGATGACATGACAAAAAAAAGAGTGACTCAAAAATTTATTTTATTCGAACAGCTTTATAACTTGGGGTAAAAGAAATTCTTACCTTCATAAATGTTTGACTTAGATATTAAAATTAGTTTTAATTCCTTAGGATTTCCTGGTTAATGATAAACAAAGGTAAGACTCAAGTACAGATCTTGCCACAAATAGTTTCCCAAATGAATAAAGCACCTACTGGTATTGGAAATTGGTTGTATCAATCCTATATCACTTACTTTCACATACAAATTTCTTGAACCTAGTTTTCCCTCATTTTACCAGTTCTACATAGCAATTTTAGCCAATGCAAAGAATAAAAATAATTTTTATTTTATATAAAATATTTAAATTAAAAATCTATTTCTACAGTGTGTCACAGTGCATTGAAGGCTAGCAAATGTATATATTGGTGCTAGTAATAAAAGTATAGTAAATATTAAATCAGTGGAAGAAAACACTTGTGCAATATGTTTTTGGAGGGAATTCATTTTCTTTGGCATAGTCTTACTCAGTTTAGTGGAAAAAACCATATTCCACCTTGTTAATAGGTGGAATAGTCAGACACATAGCTCTTACTGGGTTACAGATCAAAAAAAATAATACACTAAATATATATTACTAGTAGATGAAATTCCTCCTTTAAGCATGACTCTTTTGCAGATCTCTAAATTTCAGCTCCTCTGAGAGGGAAAGGAAGATAGCATATTATTTAAATCATTGAAATATATGGAAATCATGATACTCTGTATTAGGCGATGTATGTAGTTTCAAGTTTATGCATCACAAAAAAATTAATATTTTTAGAATTTTTTTTTCCCTGTGAATTAGACAGTTACTGTATTTGACTTTATATCTATGGAACACTTCCATGTTGAACAGAAATATTCTGTTCAGTGTTAATTTTGAGTGCAGTGAATTCAAAGTAATGCATACTACAGTGTCAGAGGCTTATTTGATCTTTCTAGTAGAAGAGGTGCCTGTGAGGACTAAAGTCAGAAGGCAACAGAGGTGAGCCAGGAGGTGGGAACAGGGATGGGAGAGGAGGCCCCAGAGGCCTGGCGGGGAACAGAGAGATGATGGAGATTCCTTCTCCTCGGCTCCTTTCTGTTGCGCTGAGTCACCGAGGGACACTGATTTTGTCGAATTCATATTCATCAGTTCAAACATTCAAAACAAGTTGAAAGGAAAATGTTCTCCTTGCCACCTTTGTTTTCTGCCACCTGCTCTTCAGGATTTTGTAAACTAGTTTTTGTGTTGACGGTTATCACGTCCCGAAAATAGGATCCTCTGTAGGACACAGATGCATCATAGTAGAATTCTTGAGAAAGATGATAATGGAATTCTCAAATCTTTACCAGAATCACAGCTTAGATTATTATACCTACATGCTAATGAAAATTATTAGCCCTAACCATTATTTAATCAGTGCTCCATATTTTACTATAACTTAAGTTACATGATAAAATGAAATAATTCTGTTACCTAGCCTACCTACCACTTTCTCTTTTGATGGGCTTTGTACACTTCCATACCTTTCATATTTGCATAGTACAAATTTTTTTAGTTTCTTCTGAGTATTTTGGGTAAAGTGAACTAAAGTTGTGTATTCTCTAATGTTTACCAATTGATTTCAGAAAGACAGTAAGAAAGACATCTACATTATCCAAAAGTAAACACTGTTAGATTTTTTAATTCTCTTTTTAAAATTCTTGTTCTCCAGTTTTATTGATGTACTATTTTTTTATTCTCTTTATTAATATATTATTTTAAAAGTCTTTGTTAAACCTATTGTTTCTATTCGCATACACATATTTTAGAAGGCACAAATATTGGAACATTATAATTTTCTCTGTTAATTACCAGTAATTGAAATTAATTTTCAGATGACATTTGTGATCAGATTTTTCCCAACTCCTTTGTTTTAATTTTTAAACTTCAGGCCTATTAGTGTTGTAAAGAAAAAACTAGTTTTTCTGCAGCTCTGACTATTTAATGAAAAGAATGAGCAGGTGGTTTTATGAGCAGTGACCTTTTCAGTTATTAGGAAGCTGCAAGTGGCTTTGATGTATTCTGTCTGATTTTGATCTGAATTTTTAGAACAATGCAGTAGCACTTTTACTTTGTGTTAAGATACATCTAACAAGTTACTGGTTCTTTTCAGATTGGGAAGAAGAGCAAGTCAGCAGTCCAAATATTTTACGACTTATTTATCAAGGACGATTTCTACATGGAAATGTCACATTAGGAGGTAATAGTCACCTTTGTAATGGGGTTTACTGTCTGTCTCATGGCAGCATTATTCATCCATTTAAATGCTAATGTCTGCTTTTACTAAATTATTTCAAACTCAATATGAATTCTGTTTTTTTGATATGCCAACATTTTGTATTCTGTTAAATTTAATTTTAGCACTATCATAAGTATTTACTACCTTGTGAAATAAACTCTACTACCTTGTGAAATAAAACCCCATTATAGGTAGGGGTCCATACCTATTTAAACATTTATAAACTTTTGAATAATATTTACATGTAATATTGGTAAGTGAAAACCAGACACACAAACTAGGATAAGTTTATGATAATTGGTTTTCAATGTAATGAAATTCTTCAGTTTGACTGTAACTGATAATGTTTAACAAACCATGCAAGAATAGAGGTAAACGAGTAACATTAGAGAGAAGGTTTAATGTAGTAATCCAAGGAGCAGATTTTAGAACCCGACTGCCCAGGTTGTACCCTTTCCACTCCTGACTGGCTGTGTGACTGACCCTGGGCAAGTCACCCAACTGATTTATGTCCCAGTTTCTTCTGCAGTAAAATGGGATAATAGCAGTGCCTACCTCCTAGGTTGGGAGAGTTAAATTTGTTTGTTTATTCCAAAGCAGTTAGAACAATATTCGGTGTATAATACACACTTGGTTAGCTATTAATTTTTTTTTTTGTTTACTTCTTGGACAAAGTAGTTTATTTTATTTTTATTAAGGTTTCATTGATATACAGTCTTACGGAGGTTTCACATGAGCAACATTGTGGTTACAGCATTCACCCATATTATCGTCCCATCACCACACCCCATCACAGTCACTGCGATGCGTAGTAAGATGCGGTAGAGTCATTACTTGTCCTCTCAGTGCTGTGCTGCCTTCCCGACCTGCCTAATCATGTGTGCTGATTATAATGCCCCTTAATCCCCTTCCCCCTCCCTCCCCAACACTTTCCCTTTGGTAATCACTAGTCTGTGAGTCCGCTGCTGTTTTGTTCCTTCAGTTTTGCTTTGTTGTTATACTCCACAAATGAATGAAGTCATTTGGTACTTATCTTTCTCTGCCTGGCTTATTTCACTGAGCATAATACCCTCTAGCTCCATCCATGTTGTTGCAAATGGTAGAATCTGTTTTCTTCTTATGTCTGAATAATATTTCTTTGTGTATATATATATATCATCTCTTTATCCATTCATCTCCTGGTGGCCACTTCGGTTACTCCCATGTCTTGGCTATTGTAAATAGTGCTGCGATAAACATAGGGGTGCGTATGTCTTTTTGAATCAGGGATCTTATTTACTTTGGGTAAATTCCTAGGAGTGGAATTACTGGGTCAAATGGTATTTCTATTTTTAGTTTTTTGAGGAACATCCATATTGCTTTCCTCAGTGGTTGAACAAATTTATATTCCCACCAACAGTGTAGGAGGGTTCCCCTCCCTCCTCATCCTTGCCAGCATTTGTTTTTCTTGGCCATCCTAACTGGTGTGAGGTGATCTCTCATTGTGGTTTTAATTTGCATTTCCCTGATAATTAGCAGTGTGGAGCATCTTTTCATGTGCCTGTTGGCAATCTGTATTTCTAGTGTCTGTTCATACCCTCTGCCCATTTTTAAATTGGGTTATTTTCTTTTTGGGTGTTGAGGCACGTGAGTTCTTTATATTTTTGGATGTTAACCCCTTCTTAAATATGTCATTCATGAATATATTCTCCCATATCATAGTATGCCTTTTTGTTCTGCTGATAGCATCCTTTTCTGTACAGAGCTTTTTAGTTTGACGGAGTCCCATTCATTTTTGCTTTTGTTTCCCTTGCCCAAGGAGATGTGTTCAGGGAAAAGTTGCACATAAGACATCTTTGCCTATATTTTCTTCTATGAGTTTTATGGTTTCATGACTTACATTCAGGTCTTTGAGTTTACTTTTGTGTATGGAGTTAGAAAACAATCCAGTTTTATTCTCTTACATGTAGCTGTCCAGTTTTGCCAACACCAGTTGAAGAGGCTGTCGTTTCCCCATTGTATGTCCGTGGCTCCTTTATTGTATATTAGTTGGCCACATCTGTGTGGCTTTATATCTGAACTGTCCTGTTCCATTGGTCTATGGGTCTGTTCTTGTGCCAGTACCAAATTGTTTTGATTACTGTGGTTTTGTAGTAGAGATTGAAGTCAGGAAGCATAATTTCCCCAGCTTTGTTCTTCCTTCTCAGGGTTGCTTTGGCTATTCAGGGTCTTTTGTGGTTCCATATGAATTTTAGAACTATTTGTTCTAGTTTGTTGAAGAATGCTGTTGGTATTTTGATAGGGATTGCACTGAATCTGTAGGTTGCTTTAGGCAGGATGGCCATTTTGACAATATTAATTCTTCCTGTTCATGAGCACGGGATGTATTTCCATTTATTGGTGTCTTCTTTAAGTTCTCTCATGAGGGTCTTGTAGTTTTCAGGGCGTAGGTCTTTCACCTCCTTTGGTTAGGTTTAGTCCTAGGTATTTTATTATTTTTGATGCAATTATAAATGGAATTGTTCTCTTGATTTCTCCTTCTGCTAGTTCATCATTAGTATATAGGAATGCAACAGATTTCTGCATATTAATTTTGTATCCTGCAACTTTGCTGAATTGAGTTACTAGTTCTAATATTTTGGGGGTCGATTCTTTAGGTTTTTTTAATGTACAATATCATGTCATCTGCAAAGAGTGACTGTTTAACTTCTTCTTGCCCATCTGGATGCCTTTTATTTCTTTGTGTTGTCTGATTGCCGTGGCTGGGACCTCCAGTACTGTGTTGAATAGAAGTGGGGAAAGTGGGCATCCTTGTCTTGTTCCCAATCTTAAAGGAAAAGCTTTTAGCTTCTTAATGTTAAGTATGATGTTGTCTGTGGGTTTGTCATATATGGCCTTTATTATGTTGAGGTACTTGCCCTCTATACCCATTTTGTTGAGAGTTTTTATCATAAATGGATGTTGAATTTTGTCAAATGCTTTTCAGCATCTGTTGAGATGATCATGTGATTTTTGTCCTTCTTTTTGTTGATGTGGTGGATGATGTTGATGGATTTTTTAATATTATACTATCTTTGCATCCTTGAAATAAATCCCACTTGGCCATGATGGATGATTTTTTAATTCTGTTTGCTAATATTTTGTTGAGTATTTTGCATCTATGTTCATCAGGGATATTGGTCTATAATTTTCCTTTTCTGTGGTGTCTTTGCCTGGTTTTGGTATTAGAGTGATACTGGCCTCATAGAATGAGTTTGGAAGTATTCCTTCCTCTTCTACTCTTTGGAAAATTTTAAGGAGGATGGGTATTAGGTCTTTTCTAGATGTTTGATAAAATTAGGCAGTGAAGCCATCTGGTCTAGGGGTTTGTTAGTTAGTTATTAATTTTTGTATCTGGAGAAATTTGGCTCAATGGTACCCCCTTATGGGGTCCATTTTCTACCATCAGCAATGTTTGTTTTGTTTTTAGAGCATGTATTTCAAATATATTCTGATACTAGAAATTTATAGGTAAATGATGTGATCTAGTTTAATCTATATTTGCTTAAATATAATATTCTTTCTCTAAACCTCACAATGAAATGTTTAATCTGTTTCTCTTTAAAGGCAAAATGTTTTCATTCACTCATTGAGCATATATTTATTTCTTATGTACCAATACTATATTTATTTCTTATGAACCACAAAAGGAACCTAACATATGGAACCTAACAATTGGAAATACAGGATCTCTTCCTTCAGGGCAATGTAGTATTACATAGTAGAAGCAGATAAAATCCACCATTAAAGTACTGGGTGATGAGGGCTGGAGAAGAACGCAGATGACTATTATGACAATAACATGTAGGTAGAACATTTCAGGACATAATCTCACACATAACCAAGTTTCAGTGGCAGTGTTGTAACTGGTCTAAAAAGTGCTGCTATCTACTAAGAGATAACTGCTATTTGAAATACAGGTTTTTTAAATTTTTTTCTAAATTCAAAAACAGAACTACCATTTGATCCAGCAATTCCACCTCTGGGTATTTATCCAAATTAAATGAGAACATACATGCACCCCTGTGTTCATTGCAGCATTGTTTATAAAAGCCAAGATCCAGAAGCAACCCAAGCATACAGTGATGGATGAACGGATGAAGAAACACACACACACACACACACACACACACACGAATATTATTTAGCCATAAAAAGAACATAATCTTGTCATTTATGACAATATGGATAGACCTTGAGGGCTTTTGCTAAGTGAAATAACTCAAAGACAAGTACCATATGCTCTTTTAAAAGTGGAACCTAAAAATAAGCAAATAAATAAACCAAGTTCATAGTTATAGAGAACACATAGGTGGTTGCCAGAGGCAGGGGTGGGGAGTGGCTAAAATGGGTGAATTGTTTTGTGGATTTTTTTAGCTTAAATAAGTTGAATTTAAAAATAAATTAAAGCTATAAACCAAGCAAAATAAATAAGCAAGCTGCATTTCCTTTGCACAACTGAGTAGCACACTGAAAATGTGTGACTTACTGTATGTGGTGGACCAAAGATTCTAGTCTAGAGGGACAATCTGCCTTTTCCACTGGGCTGCCTTCCTTTGCATTTGTTCAGATTGGGAGATGCAAATACGATTTTACAGAATATTGATCTCTCAGCATGTGCTTTCACCTCCACATAGCTGACACCAAAATCTTTTTCATTTTCTATAGATGGTTGTCTGCCAAGTACATATTACACATTTGAAAAAAAAATTATATGTAAAAAGATTTACCTTTTTTGGTTTGTACTTGTTTTATACTTCTTTGTATAGTTACATGGACCAACTTTTAATGTAAGAATTTCCTGTTGCTATTCTCTGGCTGTATTGCACATTCATTACGGATGGGGCCCTGTTTTAGTCTTTCTTTGATTATGCTTCCATAAGCTTTTGTGATGTTGATTGGAGTTGTTCATTGTATTTAATCTAATGGCCACATGAATGAATCTTGAGGCTCCATTTCCTTTTGACTATTGATCTGTGTGGGCAATTTCCCACCAACTAAATTCGTTAACTCTCTTTCTGTTGTGGCCCCAAAGTTTCCAACTTCATATTAAAGATCATAGAATTTGATTAAAATCAAATTATTGATTCACCCTCATTAAATGGTATACATTTTTACCAGTATTTTTTTGGAATTTGTATCTGAATAATTACCAGCTTGACTTAATTGTTGTTACTCTAATTCTGTGTTGCTATCAATATTTTCAAAAACAAAATAGACAAATAGCATCGTAGCACAAATGAGATCTTCAAGTTGACCAGTATATCTGGGTTTTTGCTAAAGCTGGAATAATAACATTCAACTATTGTCGAAATTTTTATTTTTAGTCTCTCTGTGTTCTGGATGTGAATAAGCAGCTGTATTCAAATATTTGAATGGTTAGTATGGAGAAGGCTCAGTCTTGCTTTGGTTGGCTTGAGACTTGCTCTGTTTCACCCTGTGAATTAGACTTAGGACCAGCAGCCAGAAGTCAAAGGCAGTCAGATTTCTACTCAATACAAGAAGTATTTGAATGTCAAGCAGCAGTGGGCAAGGGTGAGATCCGTATCATGGGTGACATTCAAGCACCAACATGAATACAAATACCAAGTCGAGTGGGAATACAGCCACAGGTGGGGTTAGCCATGGTCCTCAAACCACAAGGCCCAGGCACCCTCTGCCACTTTTGAAATTTTGTGGGTTCAGTAAGTTTCAGGTTTAAATTCTTTGTTATCAAGTTTATTGAAACATAGCCCTGAATGCATGTTTGAGATACAACCTTTTAGTTACGTAGAATTTCAATCTACTAAAGAAAAGATTTGATCTCTTTAGTAAAGCCTTACTAAATGGACAGTAAAGATCAGTTACAAGTTTGGCATTCAAAATATTCCAGGTCAGTGTTTCCTAAAATGTGGTTGAGACAGTGGGTATAAGAATCACCTAGGATACTCTTTGTAAAATGCGATTCCGCCATGCCCTCCCTTCTCCTCATCGCCCAATCTACTACTAAATTGAAATCCTGGGTAATTTTTATGTAAAGTTCGAAAACCTCTGGTCTGGATCTTGTACAGTGTCATAGAAAGCAGAAAGAAGGAGCTTCCACAGTGAAGGAAGGAGAGAGCATTTTAGATTCTTGTCTCTTCCTTCACCTTCCTTGATACTATCAGTATCAGTATCTACTATTTCTATATAAACTCAAATGGAGAAGAAAACATGTAGTCCCCGTCAATCAAATTTGTACCTTCAAATTGTAGACAATTCAGCAGCTTTCCAGGCCTGTCCAAAATTTCTCTAAATTTACATCTCAGTTCATATACCTATTTCCTGAGGTCCATTTTCCTTACTGTCTCCGAGCAATGATGATGATAATGATGATGGTAACATTTACAGAATGCTTTCTTTGTGCCAGACTCTCAACTGAGCACCTTCCCTAGACTGTTTGATTTAATCAACGCAAGTGTAAGGGGCAGGTGATGGAATTGCTATCTCCAGTTCAGGGGGAGGAAACTGAAACTTAGGGAGCAGATAATGACTCACTCACACTTGCTCCACATCGGCAAGTAGCAGAGATGAAATTTTTAACCAAAACCTGGCTTACTGGAGTCGAGAAGATGGGTAACAGTGATACACAGCTTGGTAGGTGTACATTTTAAATTCAGTCAAGCTTTCCCAATATGTTTAGTCAAATATTTAATAACATAAGGTCTTATTTGAATTTTAATGTTAAATCAGGCCTAGGAGACTATCCAAAAGAGCCTCGTCTTTTGTCATCAGAGTGAACAGTTATGGGCCATCGTGCTTCATTTGAACCTCAGAAGTTAAGAGAATAGGCCAAATAATAACTGGCCAACTTTAAATAAGGTGGAAACTCACTTTGATTATGTGAAATAGTAATAGTATTGAAGGTGATTAGGACTCTTTTCTAATCTACATGTTAACCACCATCCTGTGGATGAAGGTTTAGAAAGCAGACAGCAGGAGGATCGCACTTCCGAGTCTCGATCTCACTAAGCCTGCCTCAGGTTTACGGTCGGTGAGGAGGAAGTAGTTGGGAATGTCGGAACTAAAGCATCACTGCTGTGGGCCCAGCTCTAGAGCTTTCCTCTACTAGCTGCTTTTGTTTTATGGACATAATGCAAAGGGATTACCAGGGAAGTTGTTGTTTGTGTTTGCTTAAGTGGATCATGGATGCATGGGTGTGTAGTACAGTATTCTGGGTCTGGAATATTTCATAGTAAAATTTTTTATTATTTATGAATGAGAAAAACCTTTTAAAGACTTGGTTAGGAAACAGTGATTATTAAAAATGCCAAAAGAGTGATTCTCTTAAAGTAAGCTTTTAAAGAAAATTACTTTCTTACAGGAGAATAGAAGGTTGAGAATGTTTAAAATTAAATTGGTCATTTCTTCTATATCTACATTATAGTGGCCTCTTTGGTGTGGTAAACCATTCTACCATTCTCATTTGATAGAAAGACAAATATCTCTTAATCTAAACTTTTCCCTAATCTAGAAAAAGTATTCTTTAAAAAAGTTTTTAATTCCTTTTCTCCTCTAAAGATTATCTCCAGTATTAACCAATTATGAATTCTTCATTGTCTCCATCTTTAAACAATATGGACACATATGTCAAGCTAATAGCCATAGCTGGGAAGAATAATTTCTTCCAAATTGTAAAAATTATTTCTGCTAATATTAACCTATTTTTATTTTGTAAGGGATGTTCTATCTGGTAAGCCGTACAAAAAGCAATCAATTTTTTAAGTGGTTTCAGATCTGATTACTCATTTCAAGAGTAATCAGAACTATATAAAACGACAGTGATGCATTTGGTGGCCAGAGAGACCTTGCCAGAACCTAACTCTCAAGGTAAGCCATGTGCTGGAGCCAGTTCTCACTTGAACCACAGAGACTGGCATTCACAACGGCTGTTTTTCTTGGAATTCTGAGGAAAAAGAAGTTTTCATAGTTTATGAATAGAGCTTGTTAAGCAAATAACCAGATATTTTGGAAACTAGCTAAAATTAAAAGAATATTACAGCTTTTTAATTTTTAAAAAATTCAAACATTAAGAAAAAGAGTCTTACTATGTTTGGGTGGTTCCTCTCCCCATCCCAATTCAATCATTTTTACAAAGACAATTTTCCTTCCTTCTTCTGTAGGTCAGCGGAATCGTGAAAAGACCGGAGAGAGTAATTGTTGTGTGATCCTGTAAACGCTGTCTGCTGAGTGCGGTGTGATGTCGTCTTTGTCTTTCGTGCTGCTGGGACAGAAGAGACCCTGACGTTGCTTCAGAAACCTTTAGGGAGAGTCTGCCTGTAACTCCATGGAACTGAATTATCCCATAAACACTGTCATCTTTTCTCATGAGAGTAGAAAGAACCAAGAACATTTTTCACTATGATTTTTTATTTCTAGTGTTTTTGTTTATGTCAAGCAGTTTTAAAATATATTGGTTTTTGAATGCAGCCAGTCTCCAGGGGAAATGTTAAGAGGTTATCTTTCATAGCGGAAACCATTTTGCCCACAAAAAATCTTCATCTCCAGAACTAACAAGTGTTCCAAATAGAGTTTGCACTAAAAAGGATTGACCTTATTTTTTTCATCAGCAGAGTTTATAACATTGTTTATGGTACCTAAAAATAATCTGTTGTACAATTCCACCCTGGAAAACACTCAGCAATTAATGAAGTTAATTACTAAGCCAACTGGAGAGGAAAAAATGGAAAAGAAACCAAGATGTTGGGTGAATTCTACCAAAGTCAGCCATGGCGCTGTACTGCACAGAATGCTAAACTGAATGGGACTCTTCCCTGCAACAAAATGAAAAAAACAAAACGTGCCTGCTGCTTAAAGCACTCAGTAGAGGGCTGATGAAACTAGTGTTTTTCCTTTGACACGTGCACTCTCAGTCCTACGGGCGCTGAGCGCTTGTTCGGCAGCACAGGGGAGGGGCAGTGCGCTTCCCAGCCTTAACACGGGGCGAGTCCAGCCGCTCGCAGAGGTCCATTACTGTGCAGAAAAATTAGAACACCTCATTTACTGGTCACCTTTATGTGTTTGGATATCAGCAGATTGAATTTTTCTGTAATTGTTGCTCATCTGTAACGGTGTCCAGCGTCACACTTGCTCACTAGAGAGTTCTGATGAATTCTTAAAATTAAACTCTCTTTAGAAAATAATTTTGTTTATGCAGTTTGCATTTGGTATTAGTGCTTGCAATTGTATTAAAATCAAAAGCTGATTTTTTTAAGGCATACATATTAAGAATGCCATTCTTTTGTTTTGTATCAATCATTTTAAAATTGATATGCTAGAAAACAATTTGCACAGCACTAAAGCATGAGCTAGTTTCATCTAAACCTGTAAAAATACAACAGATTTTATATTTTTTCACTGGGAAGAAATTCTTCCTGGATGAAATTACAAATATGTGTAGAATATATTTAATAAAGAAACTTATAAAATACCTAACTATAGAACTTAAATATAGATTGGCGTGTAGTGTATAGAACAATATTCCATATGAATAACTTTAGCCTTTATAAAAATGAAGTTGCAGGCTGACACTATGTTCTGTACTTAAGTGTCCACAACCCTTACAAACATTAGGTGTAAATGGTTTCAGACGGTCAGCCTTGTTTAAAGGTAATCAGGTTATTTTACTCGTTAACGCTTTGATGAAAAGGCTTTATATGCAGTAGATCTATGAAAATATTGTTCATACTGATCAGAATTAAATTTGTATAGAGCAGAGTTTTAAAATAAATGTAAATAGCACTAAACATTTTCTTTCTGCAACCTGTACTTAATAGATTCTTTCTGTAAACTAAATTTTAAAAAATTGTAGTGCATTTCTGTGGTAATTTTAAAGGTCTTGATTAGGTTGGTAATTGTTTAAGCATTGTCTCACCCATGTTAAAACTGTTTTCTACTTTCATTTTTGAATCTTTTAAAAACATGTTGAATTCATTTTCCGTTGTTAGTTTTGGGAGTGTTCCCCATGTGTCTGATATTTAACCTGGTTAGTGTGTGCACGGTCACCACGACGGATGGAACTCTGTAGTCTCTGTTACCACTCTTCAAAGGGTTACATTCAAGAGATGTTAAATATTTATATGCTTTGTTGACTAGTTCAAATGTGAATTCTGTTAGTGTTGAGTAAAGAAGAATCTGGTAGTTACTTAGTTGCGCAATTAAGCCATTTATGGCTCTATTCTTCATTTGTAATATTACTGGTAATTATTTTTAATGCCTATTTTAATTCTAATTATGCTTCTGTTTTTCCAAAGTTAAAGACTATCAGTTAATTGTGACTGAATTGTTATGATGGTTAAAAATACTCTCTGTTGGTGTTGTGTTCAATATAATTTTGTGTGTTCCCATATTATAAATTTCCCTTTCACAAGACCTCAGTTTGCAAAATGGATAACCTGATTCATTAGTAGAGAAAGAATTATATCACTTAATACCTAATATCATTGTTATGCAAAATTAAAAAAAGAATAGAAAGTAGCAGTAAAATTATATACTGAAAACACCAAAAATTTAGATGCCTTAATAGTGTATACATGACAACACTTAACTCTCCCTTTTAAAATAGTTCCTTGGACTGTCTGATGGTTAAAGTATGATTGATCATATCCAAGGCTACCGCTGAAGATCCCTCTGCCAAAAATAACGGCTCACATACCGAAGGTGAGCCCTGCACAGATTGAGGAATGTAAATAGAGCCTGAGTTAAGGGCCTGTGACCCTGCCTGGCGCTTCGTACCTGACTCACCCATCTTACCGAAATTATCCTAGACTTTATTTAGTGTTCTGGACAAGGCAAAGCTTTTCTTTTTTTATTAAAACCTCCGCATGTCTCCTTGATCTGAATTATTTGCTTTCTCTTCAAGTTGTATCTTATCCTACCATGAAAAATAGAGTATCTAACACTGTCATTCACCTTAAATGAGGTTTTCTCATAACAAACATCTATCCTTAGTTTTGTCATCTTGACCAATGTTACAGTAATTTCTGTTAGCTGATTGTGGTAAACAATGTTTAATGTGAAAAGAAATTAAAACTTTCTTCACCTGTTGTAGAATATTTTCCCTTCTTTTAAATGACTTCTCATAATTTTGGTGTATTTTCTTGTTCTCTGTCTACAAGTTTTCTCTTTTTTCTTCAGTTAATTTTATTACATTCCCTAGTAAAATCAGCACTGTGCCAGCCTTTATTTGACATTTAACCTAAATCAAAGGCGAATGACCAAACTTTTTGTTCCTTCACATCATCCTTGCTGGTGACCAGCACTGGCCTGTCTTCAATTTTTTTCCATTGCCGTTTTACAATAGAGCCACTTGTCAGCCGAACAAGGTGACTGACTAGGCGTAGAAGAACGGTTTGAGAAAAGAGTAAATGTATAATTATGGACAAAACAAAACTGCAGGCTGCTGGCTTTTATCTAGGCGTGAATTCCCTGACCCGGGTGGGATGCGCTGCCCGCGCGTGGGCAGTAGGCGGCTGATGGCCGAGGTCCCCCTCAGCTTCTCCCAGCCGGACACCGGGTAGGCTCTCTCCTGAAGCCCGTACAGACTAGGGGGTGCGGGAAGATGGCTTCTTAAAGAGGTCATGAGCAAGATCAAGAGAGACACGCTCCGAGACAGTAAGGTTTAAACCAGTACTGGAATATGAACAGTTGTCATTCATTTTGTGGTCTTTAACGATGTCAAATGTGTGTCCTTTAATATTATTTCTATTCTGCCTCTTTCAAAATGACAACTTTAAAGAACCATAGAGCAGACATAGTACTTCAGCGCTTGAGTTTATGAGTCTCAATCTATGCTGTGATTCAACCAATAAAAAAGGAGGTGGGTAAACACGTATTTCTAAAATCGGCTGTGGAAGTGATCTGTTCTTAAGAGTCTTAAGCAGATTATCCAGCTGGCGATAAGAGTATAGTTTTTACATATTCAAAGATTGTTCAGTATCTGATTTTTATTTTCTGCATTCTTGAGCCCTATTTTATAGCTATAAGAAGTCTGATGTACTGAGAGAAACTTTGCACTATTTAAACAATGCAAGGAGGGAACAAGCTGAAGGGACAGCATCTGTGCAGAGCTGGAGTTTCAGGGTTGCAATCGGTGCTGTTTTAGGTTGTCCAGATATTCCATGTAATAAAATTTGGGGATTTGTTCATTCCTCGTTGTCTACCAGATACGCTAGTTTTCCAGCACTCCGGAGCCTGGTTCCCCCCAAGCCTCCCCCTTCCCTAATCTCAATGTTTTTGTCCTCTGAGGCCATCACTTAAGCGAGTTCCACTAATACGTGCTCCTCTCCTCCAGTGCTTCTCAGAAGGGTTTCTTTAAATCTGGTAATTGTAACAGTCCATTTTGGCTGATAACCATTCAGTGCTCAGATTTCAGGACACTGTGAGAATAGCTGCGCTTTGGAGTCAGGCCTGACTTCAAGCTGGGTAACTTTGAACAAGGTACTTCATTTGGGGGCTTCAGTTTTTTCATATGCAGAGTAAGAATACCTATTTTGTAGGGTTGTAGGAATTTTTTTTTTAATTTAGAGCACTGATTAGTCTTAAGAATTTAGTTGACAACTGGCAAACCTGTTAAAAGGCTTGTTGTCAGAAATTGTTAGGCAGCCATGTGTACTCTAAACTTTATGAAAATAATTCACAAAAATGTTAGAAGATAATGTGAATGACTATGTTCAAAGACTTTTAAAGGGAAGACAAGTGAGAAGATCTTAAAAATAAGGCTTGGATTGAAAGGAAGATAGAGGACCTAGTAATTTACCAATGAGACATGGCTTCAGAAATAGATACCAGGTTATAAAGCTTGAACTGTAAGCGAAGACCTGGACATACTAACACAAGGACCTAACTCCATCGAGATTTGAGACGGGATTTGTTGACTAAGATAGAAAAATACCCATGTACATTGTCCAAAAGAGAGAGGGCGGATGAGAGGGAAATAGCGCTGTGGCAAGAAAACACATGGAACTTCACAGACCCGGGAGTGGAGTGGGTGAGGTGTATCTGAACAATGAACAGAGAGACAAAAATACTAGAGGGTAATGCTGTCTGTTTCCTCAGGTTTAGGCTGTCAATTTCTGAATCTGCATCAGGAAAACCGAGGTGAGGTATAGTAGTGAAGGAGCAATCCAATGACCATCAACAGTAGAGTGGATATTTATTTAATGGCATATTTATACAATGAAATATTACAAAGGAACATTAAAACAACAAACTACTGCTGTATACAACAACAGTATTAAGGGAAGGAGCCAGACATCAAACAAACAAACACATACTGCATGAGCTCATTTAAATAAAGTTCACCAACAGGCAGAGCCAGTCTACTGTTACAGTCTGGACAGTGGTCACCTGTGGTGGGGAGGGAGCCATTAGCCAGGAAAGAGAGTGGTGGTGGGCGGGGGACTGGGGTGGAGGGTCTTCCGGGTTCCAAAATGTTGTATGTCCTGAAATGGGTGGTGATTACTCTGGAGTACACACACGCACACACATGTAAAAGTGAATCAAACCGTATACTTCCTATTTGTGCACTTTATCATAGATAATTTCTAGATATGTCAGACCTCAATAAAAACAAAGAGAAAAGAAATATTTATTTACTGAGCACCAACCATGTGCCAGGAAATGTTCAAGGCAGTATTCAGGCCACCTCTGAGCTTACCGTGTTTCAACCAGTCACCCAATTTTGGACATTGAGCCTATATCAGATATTTCTACACATAAATGAATAGAAGCAGTTATTAAGAAAATGTCAAATGCTTGACTCTATGAAGAACGTAAATTTTAAAAATTTCCCTAACTTTGTATTTGAAAAAGTCCAAGCCTATAGAAAAGTTGCAAAATAGTCCAATGAAAATTGACACATCCTTCATCTACATATTAATCATGTGTTAACAGTTTGCCCCACATGTTCTCTCTGTATCTGTGGTGAGAGAAATAGATGCATATAATAGAGACAGGTATTGGGGGGTGGGAGCTGACTCCTCTGAAATGACAGATCCGGTGCCACTTTACACCCTAAATCCCATAGCACACATTTCCCAAGAAATAGCTGTGTGATGTAGAGCGCGTTGTGTAGCTCTGTTCCTCAGACCCCTTATCTATTCAAAAGAAGGAGAATACAATCCCACTTCTCTCTTAAGAGTGTTTTAGGGAAACTGAGAAACTATATGTGAAAATGCCTTACATTTATGTTTTATATGTAAAATGACTTTAAATTCCCTGCATGGACCAGAAAGCAATGGCTTGCCTGGGCAGATGGCTCGACATCTAAGGCTGTGTGGGCCTGCATGAGTTCTTACTGCTGCTGTAACGATCAACCACCAATTTGGTGGCTCAAACAATGCAACGTTTTGATCTTCTGTTCTTCAGCTCGGATGTCTGCCGTGGGTTTCACTGGACAAAATTCCAGGTTTCAGTAAGGCTGAGTTTCTTCTCAAGGCTCTGAGGGAGAATCTATTTTCCTGCCTTTTCTTCTTCTAAAGGTTGCTTTCATTTTCTGACTTGTATCCCCTACTCCATCTTCAAAGCCAGCAATGGCCAGTTGAGGCCTTCCTACATTGTATCGCAGCAACCTACTCATCTCTCCCACTTTTAAAGACCCCCAGGATTACACTGTGCCCACTGAGAAAATCCGGGATAATCTATTTTAATCCAGGATAGTCTATTTTAAGGCCAGCTGTTTAGCAATCTTAATTCCATCTGAAACCTTAATTTCTCTGTATCATGTAATGGAATATCCTCACAGATTTCAGGGATCAGGTTACAGATATCTTTGGAGGGGAGTACATTATTATGCCTGCCATAAACCAAACCTTGTGTGACACTTACAAAAATAAAATAAGTGCCAAACCTTCTTACTGCTCCTCAAAAGATAGCAGGACACCATAGAAAGAACTTGAATTAGATACGTAACTATGAATCCTGGCCCCACAACTGACCTGCCCTAGTGAACTCAGGCAAGTAAGTAGACTCCCCTCACTTATAAAATGAGGACGATGGCATCTATTTTACCAGGGTGCTGGAGATGACGTGGTACGACACACACAGAATGCTTAGCCCTTCCCAGGTGCTCAATGAACCCAGTCCTTGCCAGCTGCTTCCCAACGTTTAGGGATTTTTTTTTATAAAAGATTTTTTTATAAAGAACTGCCTCCTAGGAGAGCAGGATTTTTCAACTTGATTTTCCAATCTCCAACCTCTATTTTATTCACATACCTTCCTTTCGCAGAGCCCACAGGTAGTCCTTACGCCTATGTGCAACTCTCTTTTTTTATCTTCCAACTCACTGGTTTATTTGAATCCTAGTTTACCTTATTCTCTACCAGATTTTATCTTTGACCTTTTTCAAAGAAAACATTATTGACCCTCTAAACCCCTAGAAGAAAAGTTGAAACTTGAAATTTCTGCTCACCCTCTCCTTTTCCTTCATTATAGATCAGAAATACAGTCACCTCTCTCCACTCTCCAGTGCATCGCACTGGTTTTATCTTTCCAGTTTTCATCCTCTAAGTGACGGATAAATGAATTGTTCCACTCACCGTAAATGCTCTGTGTCCTCCTGCCAGGGACCAGCTACAGGGAAATGATCTGGAAAGAAAATGTGTATGAACCAGGCTCCGTGCAGAAGGCTTGGCTCTTTATATTCCATGGCTTTACTTTGATTCTCATTTTTCTCCAGTTTTGCTTAACTCAATTTTAGAAGGCAGTTTTCTCAAAAGCATATTTCAAGCACTAATAGTGTTTGGGGCACCTTGTTTTCTAATGCTGGATGGGCTGCCCCAGTTCGCTGTGCTCCTTAATGCCAGCACCTAAGGCTGATGGTGGCCTGTGCGCACGGCCTCACGTGCACACTGCGGATCCATGCTTCTGAGAGCAGCTCTCCACCTCCTGAGGTTGGGCTGGTTTCCCTTTAATGTTATTCCCCATCTCATCCTCATGTTAGATCAGAAAATTGGGCATGTGTATGATGGGAAGCTGTGTGTGAATGACTTTATGTGTCACCTTGACTGGGCCATGGGATAACAAGACATTATTCTGAGTATTTCTGTGGGGGTGGTTTTGGATGAAATTGAC